TATGGTGAAGTTGGGTGGTGGGGGGATGGGGAAAAGAGTGGTGAACGGGTGAATGGCCTGCCGCGTCCTTGCGAGCCACCTGACCACACCGGCCGTGCCGCCACCACTCGGTGGCCTCTCCAGCATCTTTCCAGAGGCCTGGTGGACTCGCCTTCCAACCGGCAAACGGCTCGCCTACCGGACTCCTACCTGACCGATACCCCCTTAAACTATTCCTATTGCCTTCTTGATCTCTTCCGTCACTTCCTAGTAATTTTCTTTCTTTCTCTATCTTTCGTTTTTTCTCTTTATCTTTCAGTGATGTTTTTTAATCTTGCATCTCCACTTGCATCGATCTAAATTATATATTATTTTATTTCATTTTAATTTTGTGTGTGTGTGTGTATCTGTAGAATTATCCTCCTTACGTTCGTTCTTTATATTATTTGCATTTTAAATGCTTGTACAATGAGTGTTAGATTTTTTGTTTCTTTTTCTATTCTTTCTTTCCGAACTCATTTAAATTAATAGATTATCGTTATCTATTATTTATGGATATGTATTATCGTATTATATATAATTAAGATAAAAAGATTTGATGTGTATAAGATACGTCCTTTATCGTTTACTATATTTAATCTTATTTTATTCAACCATTCGTATTATGCATAGAGTATTATATATATATGTGAGTTTTTCGGTCTACTGTAGATAAACAAAAGGATAACATTGAAGAGAGAGTATCTATCGTCATTGCTATTGATTAACGTATTTCTCTTGTTTAATATTAACTCGACAACGTAAACATAACAACGCCAGTCGCTTTGTGGCAGTCGAGAAATCAACACCCAACCGTACAGGATACTATTTTCGGTACGTCACTGGTTTATTTAACCCTTTGAGTAATACCCAACGTATATTCGCATCATACGGTTAATCGAACGTACTGATGTATTACGATAATACATATACATGTATATAGGTATATATTATGGTCATTTGTAACATGGTAGCTACATTGACGTTTATTTAGAATATATTTTAATTTTCATATTTTTTTTTCTACAAAAGATTATTATTAATTAATCCTTTATAATTATTACAGTATCTATAAGATTAATTTACTATATAAAATTATTTTTATTTTAGGGCTAATTTACTATATATAATATTGTATAATATTTAACAAACTTAACTTTATTAATCATAAATACATATATATAGTGTAAATATATATTTGTTCTAGCAAATAACTGTTATCATTAGGATTAAAAGAAAAAAATTCGTGGTATCTAAATAATGAAATCCAGTTTGATAATACCATTTACTATTCGAAAATTTGCAAATATTTATTAAACGTTCTTCCACACAATTTCAATGTTTCTTTGATCGTCTTTGTGTAGTTGTAGTCGAGAGACAAAAATCGAGAATCGTTGCTTTAGTCGAACCGTTTATGCGACTGGTTTGCCGCTCTCGAAAGCGAGACCAAAATTGGCTACTTACCACTTTGTCGTGCGAGCACGCCCGCGTCTCTCCTTATTTCCGTGCTACGCCCACGTTCCATTAGCATGTTATCCCGTACGGTAGAACCGGGAGCAACCTACCTTTTCGAGAAAGAAAAGAAAGAATGAGAAAGACACAGAGAGAGAGAGAGAGAGAGAGAGACAGAGACAGAGAGAGAGAATGAGATAAGATTCGTATGCTACTTCTCGCACGGTATCCTTCTTTTGATTCCTTTTTTTTTCCTTTTATTTTATTTTATCGGGACCATTGCAGAAAGCAACAAAATTTCCCTTTTAATCGGTAGCTTGTGTTCTTTTCACGGATTCGTTAAGATATGTGACTTATAGATCGCGATATTGCGAGAGCACCAGCTTCTTTTAACCATTTCTTTGATTTTTTTTTCTTTCTTTCTTTCTTTCTTTTTGTCTTTCTCGTTGTGACTCCGTTTTGTACAACCAAAAAGATACACAATCTTGTTAGCTTACGCCAGCTTGAAAAGAAGAGAATATTGATTCTGGTTTTTAAGTACAAGTCTGCCACACTTATACGTATCCTATATTCGTATGTACGTATGTGTGTACATATATATATATTATTTTATTTTATTTTTATGAATTCAACGAAAATCGGACGAATATCATCGTATAGGTAAAGGGCTTATTAAAACTGATTCTACCTTTCTTCGTTTCCATTTATTATAGTTGAATTTTATCTTAACGATTATCGATCGTCTCATATTATATCCTTTTCTTCTTTTTCTTGTTCTTTTTCTTCATCTCTTCCCTTATAGAATAACGGACTGAGAAACTCGTTCCGTTAACGTTTCCGTCTCGCTTTTTACCGAAACGAACCTTTCGCGATTCGACCGACCAGTCGAAAATCTTTCGATACCCTACTTACATCTGTCTCCTGTTATTGTTATTGACATGAATATGTTTTTCTTTCTTCATCAAATAAAATCCATTGATATAAATATGATAACGAAATATAATAAATTTAAATTAATTTACTAGAAAATATATTAGACGTACGTTTAATTATCTATCCTATATCGATTACGATCATATTGATATGTCAGTCAGGTTTTGTAAATGAAATAGGAAACCTCGAATAGTTTACGAAGATTTGTTACTCTCAACTAATGAGAACTTAAAGCCGAAGGGTGTAGAATTAGCTGTCCGATTGTCAGCGTGTTTATATGTGTTAAAGGTACTCTTAGGTAAACGACGTTCTACCAACCTCCTCATACCAAAGTATCCTCATTTAATTTATCCATGCACATATATCTTTATATAAATAAATTCAGTGTCACATTGTTGGTTTCCAATGAAATCTTTTTTATTTTATATAAAATATTTTCACATACATATATATATGTAGATATGCATTTATATATGCATATAGCATCGATTACTTGCTAAGTATATCGGCCGATGTTGCAGGACGACCATTCGCACGTAATCCAACGTCGATTTTATACGTCCTCCTATTCGACCGGATGCCTTTCGCTTGTCATCCAGTTGAAAGCGCCGTTTCTCTAAACTCTTCGCACTCATGATCTCGTGCAGTAACCTGGCCTCACTTTTCCTCAACAAATAATGGAGACCCGGATAGTAACGCTAGATAGTAGCCCCGATAGACGACGGTTTTACGACTTTTCTTTGATGATCGAAAAATTCTTCTTCTTCTTCTTCTTTCTATCTTTTTAGTATAGAAACATCTTTTACTTTCGCAATCGTTAAACGTTCAACTAGAAATTTTGCTATTTTCTTTGTCAAAGAAAAGAAACAAAAATAGAGAGAGAGAGAAAGTGGACTGGGAGGAAGATAAAGAGAAAGAAAAAAACAAGGAATTTGGTTTATCATACTTTAGGATCAATGATTTCATTCTAACATCATGAATTTATTAGATATTTATATCGATCTTAAGATACTTGTAATTATAGCTTTGTAATTAATTACATATGTTTTGTATTTTCAAGTAGTTATTACTATGTTAGATTGAATACCTTTTATATACTTGTCTTTTTATCTAAATAAAATTATACAGTTGTTTGAGATTGAATTTTGTTATTGAAAACTCTCGTATCAATTATTATTTTTATCTGTCTGACCATAACTTAAAAAGAGAAATCTGTCAGATTAAAGTGTTTGAGTTATATTTTCTTTTGTATTTTTTTCATGCACTCGAATTACCCTCATAGAACGAGGAACGTTCGTGACCTTTACAGATATCATTTTCTTTACCATAGTAATATTCTAAGTGACTACGTAACGAGTTTACGGATTTTAGCTAATCAGAAACGTCTACGCGGTTTTTGCAGGTACATTACCTACGTGTTTGAGAATTAATTAGCTTAGCTATTATTAGAACGTGAGTTGACTTCTCTAAGAACGGAACATCGTCCAGTAACAAAGATTTTATCTTCTTTACTCGAACGTTCCAAAGATATAAAGTATTATTATCTTTTTTTTTCATTGTAAATTTAGATATTTATTACAATGTGTAAACACACGCGAGTTTTTATTTTTTTTTAATTTTTTTTTTTCAGATTAGTGATCGAAATGTTTTATTCTTAAAAGCCGGAAGATAATCGGCATAGTTCGAGCAGCGACATAAAATATGCGAAAAGAAAGGAAATTCTTAAAACCATCGTCATTAGTCAGCGAATATCTCCTTGAAAAAGAGGGAGAAGATCGGTATTTCGACTATAAAACTTTGAAATGTCGAGTGAGTGAGTGAGTGAGTGAGTGAGTGAGTATGTTGTACATGAATGGGTAAATGGAAGACAGTGATGTAGTGTTCAAGTTCGTTGGAATCTTGTGTCATCCACCAGGTAATTTTCTCCTCTGATTTTCTGAATCATCGTCCTTTGTCTTTTGCAAGTATCCCTAGTATCCGTTTATTCAAAGTATGCAAATTAATTGACCTTGATCATTTTTGCAAATTAAATTTATCTTTTACTTTATCTTTTTTCTATCACTTTTGATTAAAATGAATTAATGTACCAATCTTTTTAATTGAAATTATTTTCTAAAAAATAAATGCATATGTTTATGTATACATTTGAGTGTGCGTGTACGTGTACATATATATACATGTATAATTGCAGAAATTAATGCATTGTGATATTTATTAATTATATTAATACAATAATAAATGATGAATACTATTAAAATTGAATATTATTAAAAATTATCATAAATTTATTGATCATAACGTTTTACAAATAGAACGATATAGAAAATTCAAAGGTCCTTGGCAAGTTTTAGTATCAAAAGATAAAATAAATTCGATATATATATATACCTATCGTAACCTTCCTAGAAGGTGGGCTGATTCTCGTGGGAAAATTTCGCGTTAGGTCGTTACTTTCATTTAACAAGCGTTCGCATAGATTTCGCCTACTTTTTACATTATAAGATATCAACTAAAAGAACTAACTTTCGTTCTTAACTATTACATTCGATCATGCTTGAGATACTAACGAAAACACTTCGTTGTTGTTTCGTTTACAGAACGGAACGCTTCCTGATGTTCGCCGTAATTGTTCGACGGTGGATGGGGTCGTCACGGCCGTAAATCCAATCACCTGGAACGAAATTCGTAACCGGTAAGTAGAAAAAATTCATTTTCATTTGTCTCGATTGTATTTTTATATTCGTTAGAATTAAAAAATACTTTTTATATTATCTTTTATTTAAATAGATTTGTATTTTCTTATTAGTACAATTTGTAAAATAGTTTTGCATGTATCTACATATATTCACTAATATACATATATATTTTACATTGTATATGTAATCTATGTATTAATTTATGAATTGTTAACTGGTCAAACTGATCAGCAGAATTTACAAAATTCTATTAAATTTTAATACCAAAATATTTAATCTTTTATATTTAAAACGGATGTTTTTTCATAATGAAATGATACAAATTTATATTGCTATAGGGATATTAAATAATACAACGATGTATGTGTGTACGTAACTAAATATATAAATCTGATATACAGTTTTATTGCACGTACATACAATAAAATTTGAAAGTATTTTAAAAATTCGTAACTTTTTGGGAAAAGATGTCAACGTGTTATCATAATTATTAAAAATAATAAAAAAAGAATAAGAGAAAATCCTATTTTTTCTTTTTAAAATAATCTTTAGAATATTAAAGAACAGATAAAAAGATAAAAAGAAAGTAAAAATTAATACACACCAACTCTCTCTTTATGAGCTTAAGTAAAACATATACATATACATATATATATCACGTTAAATCAAAGCACGTGACAACGCACCGTGCCCGTAGTTATGAACTGTAGAAGGAAAATGGTACGGGACGATTAACTTACGTTTCACTCTCTTTATATCCATACCTCTCTTCCCTCCCATTTCATACCTCTCACTCTTAGCTACTATTAGAAATAAAAGAAGAAGTATAAAGATATAACACTACTACGACTAGTTGGGTAACCTGGGGCAGGGGTATGGGAGTTAGTAAGAGGAAACACGATTTTACAATAACTCAATTCATTTCCAGTTGGTGCAAGAACGCACTTGGAAAAAAAAAAGTGTCCAGCTGGATATAGTTATTGCGGTTCTGGTATATGCGACGTGAACAGGTCAGTCCGGTCGAGAGTGAGAGCAAAAGAGACAGAGATAGATCGACCGACCCAACGATCAATCGATCGATCGATCAAGAATGAGAAAGAGAGAAAGAAATACAAAAAGTGAAAGAGAGAGAGAGAGAGAGAGAGAAAATGATAGAAGCATACAATGATCGAACCCACTCCCCGACAGTGATGTTTGCAAAAGGGCGATATCTAATCGGCAAAATGTTCGTCGTAAAGTAAACGCGAGAAAACAGGGTGGAGCATGAGACGGGACCCAAGCACAACAGGCAACTATGGTATATCCTCTTATTTCGGTCTGGAAACGTCTTCGGGCTCATACACGAACCCATTATTCGGTCGTTTCGTTCTATCGTGTATTTGTTACTTTCTTTTTTTATTTATTTATTTATGTCGCGAACGTGCAGCTTGGACAAAGTTTTAACACTGAGAAGAATAGGATTCTCTTCAGGGAATACCTTATATACATACATATATACATATGTACGTTTAATTCACGTATGTAACATCCGACACTCGTTCGATGCACGATCAAGTTCGTGGATAAGTGTATGTGTTCTTATAATACATATATTTTATATATATACGTATATGTATATAGATATATCCATATACGTATATATATATACATATATATATGAATGTATGTATGTATATGTAGATATAAGTCCGTGTACACCGCCAGTTGGTATTGTATAATGCAGCCATTGATAGCCGTCCTCTCTTTCACGCACGCGATCTGTTGCAGTCGCTGCAACCCGTGTCCGGTGACAGCGTCCAGTGTCCAGTCTCCCTCCCGGTGAGTGTCCACAAGATTTATTTTCCCATGCGGTATACGGGGTGGCACCGCGAAAACCGGACCGGGCAATCCGAACTCCAACTCTTTTTTATTTCCCCTTATCTTTTCATTTTGTTTTGTAACTTTTTCTTTCTCTCTCTCTCTCTCTCTCTCTCTCTCTCTCTTTCTCTCTCTCTCTCTCTCTTTGTCTTCGTTTACTTCAATTTCAATATCCAGAAAAATAGTGACAGGAATATGTATCAAATATGTGAACAATTTTTCTTCAAGATATAAATTAATCGAATAATTTATTCGAATGTTTTTTTTTCTTATTTTTTATAGTTGTCGTTCATTCCGTTTTCTCTTCTGAGAAGATACGCTTCGTTGACTTTTCATATAAACGATCGTTAATAAAGAGATTGATTTTTTTGTCAGTCATAGTTAAACGCGTATAATAATCGATAATAGAGTAATTCTACCAATCTTCTTGAGCATGATTCTATTATTTTTTTCTTTTTCTTATTTGCCAATATATTTTTTGTTATATCGTAAGAAGAACACACGTGGTATGAATCGTTTTTACGCGATTTCTAATCAAGTTTTTTTCAATCGTCTATCAAACATTCGTAATAAAATCAAAACAGAATATATATATATATATGACGATTTTAATCGTATATTTTTATAAAAAAGATTAAGAATACAATATATAAAAAATAATATCAATAATAATAACGATGAAAAGTATTAATATACTTTTTCAAATCAAATTTTTGTACGATAATGTTTAAACCAAAATCAAATTTTTGGTTCAAGCATTATCGTAATGATCTTGATCGATCTTATAGAAAAATAAATAAATAAATAAATAGGAAATATATAACAAAGAGTCAACTAAAGGAAATCCCTTTCTCGCATAATTCGTCGGTGTTTCTTGGTAGGATTATCGGCTCAACGATCCACCACATTATTTTCTTGATCTCGATCTTTCGATCTTTCCTTCCCTAAGCGGATCGTTTTCCAACGTTCTTCTTCTTCTTCTTCTTCTTCTTTTTCTTCTTCTCGTTTGGATAGTAGTGGCGGTACTTAACGAGCTAGATCGCTTTCGCAGTATCACCTTAGAGACGTAGCCACGATCGATTTACAAACACCATCACCACCATCACCATCACCAACACCACTACTATCCACAAACGGCGGTATCGTATTGGAAGAACGAAAGATCGCGATCGTCAACGAACGATGTGTTCAATCTCGAGTAAAAAAAAAAAAGAGAAAAGTGTGAGTGAAATTTCTCGTTAAATCGATCGTAAAAATTTTTATTCAATCGTTTCCTTTTCATTCTCGATTTATTATTTCAATACATGTTAACATTCTTATTATAATATACATTTTTTATGCTTTATTTTACACGTATTATGATACATTTTTGGATACATTTTTTATTACAATTTGTAGATAAAATCAAAACAACAGAAAAATATTTACTATATGAATTTTCAGTATATATCAAATTAAATTGGCCGAAACTCGATCGATCGTTCTCATTTCAGGATTGGCTTTGAAACATTTCAATGCACATGATTATTTGTAACCCTATATGATATAATAATATTACCACGATATATAATATATATACATATACATATGAATTTCATTTGAATATTAATATTACGTACAATAAATTAAAAATAGTATTCACGTTGTTTTAGTTAAAAAAAAAAAAAAAATGAAATGAGTGAATAAAAAATTTATTACAAATACGTGAAATTATTAATTGAAACACTATATGTATATATAAAGATATTCGTCGTGTTGGATCGAGATTAATTATTACAGAAAAAAAAATAAACAAAAAAAAAACCATATAAATAAATGATCTTAAGACACCCGTTAAGTCGTTCAGAAATCTCGTTTTGCAGTTCTACGAGTGGGAAACCGCGTTACAGCGCCGAAATTGCGTAAAAGAGAATCGAATTACCTTTGGACTCGTCGAGATACGAAATTAACGAGTTTCGTTCGAATCGTTTGTCGATTGGGGGGTGACAGGGGGTGGAATGGGATGGGGGGAGGACAGGGACCTCTCTCGCGCTCGTCTTTCCTTCTTTCGTTCGTTCATTCGTTTAGTTTCGTATGTTCATACGTTTTGTACGTTCGTTCATTCGCACGAACGACAACATACGGGAGAATGGAAAGTTACGAGAGAGAATGCCAGTTTCAAAGAGAGAAACAACGTTCTCGATTTTATTCACTTGCGACATACTTGAGACACTTTGCATCCTTCGTTTTGAAAGAACCTAATGAAATTTTAACTTACGGTATATGCACATACGAAATAATACGATTATGTCATATATTGATATTATTAATATTAAAATTTCATCCTTATTTTTTTCTCGTATTTTATATATGTATTTTTTGTCTACAAGTTAAATAATATAGTCATAAGTAATGAATAATATGTTAATTTTTGTTAACCCTTAGAGTGCTATGGATGCATATATGCGTTTGATAAAAATTACCAAAGTGGTCTATCGACATATATACGTGTTTGTTAATATTAATGTAGAAAAATGTAATTTTTATTTTATTTAATTATTTAATAATATTATTATATAAAATATAATAATAAATATAAAAAATAACAATATAAAATATAATAATAAATATAAAAATATAATTATATATTTTATAATTATTATTAGAATCTAATTAATAATAAATTATTCCATTTCTATAAAACATTTTAGTTGAAAGTATTCAGCACTCAAAGGGTTAATAATAATATAAATACTTGTGATATAATAATTTCATTTTTCATCTTTTTATTCTATTTTTTTTTTTTTTTGTTAGATTTCTTTCATAGATATTATACGTGAATCATTCATTTTATACTTATCTTTAATGTCTGACATGTAATCATTTGTGTTCGCATTTATATCTGACTTATTACATATTACATTTATTTTTTTTATCATATTTCATGTATATCGTGTATTAGATATATAAGTGTAGTCCATCAATAGGATATATTATATAGTATGTTTACGTTAAGAAAGAGTATACCTATACATCTAAAAGTCGATGGAATTGTGTAAACGAAACCACCCCCTCCTCCCCTTGAAATCTTGAATATATCCGTCTCCTGCAAATAAAGCTTGTATCTCGTATCTCCTATCGAGAAAGAGGAGAAGAAATA